AGCTTTTTTTCTTGTCTGAGTGCCTTAGAACTAACAGAATGTTAGATGTGGAAAGTCATTCTACCCCATACGTAGAGTTCGGGTTCCAGTAGCGAAGACAGCAGTGGACTGCAGACTGTGGTTAGAAGCGGTAGTACAAGGGCAGCCTGCTTAGGCAGCTAGAAAAAAAAAAACACACAAAGATATTGAACTATTTTGATATACCTTGTAACCTGTTTGTTAATTCTAGTCATAAGGTTGCAAGTTAAATGTTGAAAATCTTACAGGTACTTTCAAGTGTATGTAACTCGTTTTTCAGAAGTCAAAAGGGCTGTAAATATTCTTTGTGTATTTTAAAATGTGAGATTATATTTCCTAAAAAAAAAAACCAAACCCAAACCAGTGTGCCCCTCTGACCTTGGAGGAAATGTGTGACTCTTCTACTTCAATCTTTTGTTGCTGTCCTCCTGTGCATGTGTTGCACTTCTGTTCTAATTTGGTGGGATGTCACTCGGTTAAAATCATGTCCCATATTTGTGTTCTAATGGTGAATGCCTTTCTAAAAATCTGTGGTGGTCTAAGTAATAATGTATGCAGTTAGGATAGTTGCTCTGTTAGGCCTTGTTATGTCATGCCTAGAAAATTTTTCTCTATTCTGGTGTCTGGAAAGCTATTTAACACTGTTTAATTGGTAACAAGTGGCTATTGGTACCTCTCTTCCAGTACACATATTACACATACTGCATACAATTTTTACCTCTGTATATTCATTCCTCAGAGTTGTGTATCAGATCATCACTTGGTTTGTTTTCTTACAGCACATATTTGCTTGTGGGTGGGCTTAAATCTTTTTTGTCCAGAATATTTTGAAATAAATAGCTCTTGATTTTGTGCCCTGCGAATTGTTATCCTAACTGTAGTGCAGTAGCAATTATCTGCAAGAAGTGTAAGATCCAGCAGACTTACCTTAGTTTAATGCAAGAAAACTTTAGAAGCCTCTTCCACTCATAGATTCTCTTAACTTTCACCAAGAATGCATAATAGTGCTAGGTTATGCCCTTTTGGGACACAAATGTTGTACACACTCAACTGGACTTCCTAAACAATTCTGTAGACAAGTAGATGACATGAATGTGGTCTGGGCAGAACCTGAAAACACTTGGTGAAACCTAGTCAAGCTAGTTGTTCTCTTCAATAGACAAACCTGATTAAGCAGTTTTTACTGTCAGTGCTATTTGTTTCCTGCCCTGGTGACACGCACACCTTCCTTTAATATGTTGGTCATTATGGGCTGTGGAGAAAGAATAAATAACACTAATTAAATCTGCAAGTGTCAGAATCCAAGTAACGTGCAGATATGCACAGTCATTAAACGCTGAGTAAGCAAATGTTTCATGGACTTCTGCAAGCTGATTCCTACATGAAAAAAACGTGGGTAGTGAATAAATGTCACTTTTAATTATGTGCTGTCTTGTGTATGAGGAGTAGGACTGGTCATATGAAACTTTCCAGTTTATCTGGTAATTCTACCCTATTTTATTACATCTATTTTAAAAGCAACAAACACAGAGGTAGTTTAGTTTAATAGTAGACGCAAGGTCAATTTTAGGTTAAAGAATGCATTAGCTATGAGCAGTAGTAAAGTACTGTAAAGGATTTTAATTCTAGTAGTCCAGAAACTGCTCGTGGAGACAGTCTGACTATTAGTAAGTTAATAGTGTAGCAATTGCAAGATTTCAAGGTGTGAATTGGTAAAATGTGTACAATATCACTTTATATATTGTATTTAAGGAATCTTTTAAGACCTGCATGCTTATGCTTTGGGGTCGAATTTCAGTAGCTGGAAAGAGGTTGGATACAAGAAATGGACTTTGAATGCCAATTAGTGAACTTACATACTTTGTGTTCGATTAACAATGAGAAGTGCTTTGCTGTACAAGTACTTTAGCTTGGTGGTCAGAATAGTGAGATAAATGTAAGATGAAAGGAAATGGGAGCTGATATGATTAACAAGCCAAAAATGCAAATGGTCCTTTTTCTGTTTTCCTTGACGGCAGTGGGAAATAAAAGGTAGTGAAAACAAGCTGGTTTAGGCTTCTGTCTGAGACCAGCCAGAAAACTGTTTGGTGGCAGAAAGCTCTGCTTCCAACTTTATAGCTTTTTCTACATTTATTCCTGTGTGTACAGCTGTACCTGTTCTTGATGGGCAGCCTGGTGCTGGGGAAGGAAAAAAAAAAATCTGTTCTGGCTGGGTTAGTTTTTGAGGGGAGTGGCATAATCCTGGGTGAAGATCATAGTTAGCTGAACCTTGGAGGCGAGTTGTCATGTACTGGTTTGGACAGGAGCTTGAAACAGTGGTTAGTCCGAGTTTCATTATTGCTAGGTAGTTTTCAAAATATCCTAAGGGACTTGTTACGGTGGTGACTTAACTAGAATGTTTGTTACTGAGTCAGGTGTCTTTCATTTGTCCAGAATGGACTTTCGCATAGTTATGTGAAGGGTGACCATCAGTATTCTGGGCAGTATTCTCTGAGTCTCATTGCATTTTTTTAATTGTCTGGAGGTGCTATATTAATCCTTTCTGATGTTGTCTTGTATTAGAAATTATGAAATGGCATACACCCACATGTGGTTAGTAGTTTTGTATTGATTCTTTCAGTTTATATAGCTAATGATACTTCTGGAAGTGTGATGAGAGAGACTTTAGGATTAGCTCTTTGAAAACTATTAGCTGAGCAAACTTGACTGAGACTCTCAACTGGAATTATTTTGGGAAGATATGCTGCATTCATCAAGAGTGAGTCTATTTCATGTAAAAATCTTTAGTGTAATAGCAGTTGTAAATCAATTGTAAATATTAGATGTCACAATTGCAGAGTATTGTGAATGAAAGCAAGCTTTATCACAAAACCTAGTGCTTAGTTTACTTCCAAAATGTCGACAAGATTTTTCTTGTGTGCACGTTGTGTTTGCACATGTAATATTTCTAACTCTTCTAGTTAGAAGCCCCTGAAGGGGCAACACTTAAATTCTAGTTGTCTGTACTTGGTTTTTTGTAGTATAATACAAATGATAACTTGGAGCAGGAAGTATTGAAATGCTTCTTTGGTGTATTTTACGGCCTTTGTGCACTGACATCTTAATTTGTTCTATGGGGTGTTTGTATGCCATTAAAGGAGAAGGTGTATATTTGATACCAACAACTTATAAATGGGGCTAATGCTAGAAATTTTGTTCTAGATAGAATTTGAATCACTAAGCTTTTTGAAGATCTGTTTAGCTTTTTATAGTATTACGCTGAAGGATATTTGACAGATTGTGCTTCTGTGTGTTTGTCAGTAATGTTCCCCACTAGGGAATCTTCAGAAAGCATTTAGTTTAAGAGGCAGGAAATTGTACTACCTGCCCCTTGCACTGGGTAAATTGAAGCACTATCCTAGTTGTCACTGCCCCTGTTAGGCCTTCACATTTCAGTCTTTTCCCTGTGAACACGGGAGCATGTGAAAGCATTCTTAAACATGATGTAAATTATATTTAGCTTTTGCACTGAAATTTTTTTCTAGGTGAGCTGTTAAACTAAAGCATACTTAATTATTTTCAAGCATAAAGGTGTAACTTCTCTGAAGTAAAACATAATATGCTTAATAATGCTAAATATACTGATAATGAGAAGAAAATCCCTATTAAGATACATCTTTAGGTATTACCAGAAGAGTTTGCCAGCTGGGACTGTGCAGGTTAAACAGTGTGTGTTTGTGTTATCCCTTCAAATCCATTCCACTTTTCAGCAGCTTTGGTGATGATAAACTAAGTAATGTGGAAGTCTGGAGTAAACTGTTCCATTAATTAGATGACTTACCACTACTTAATCCACCTCTACATTCCTTTGTTCTCTTAAGACCACAAAGTTTAAATTAATTTTTAAGTACTACTTTTATATTGCTGCATTTAGGAATGGCTAGAATATTTGGGTCTGCTGTAGTTAGTACTTGTTTATATTACGGAAGTGTTTTTTCTTTTACAGGGTCAGATGTACAGGCATTTTTGTGTTAGCTGTAGGGAATGAGCTCTGGTCCTCATTCCCTGTCTCATACTCTAGTACAGATTGCAGATTAGGGAGAGATGGTGGTAACTGGTGGGGACGCTTGGCCTCACAATAAAGCTTTGTGTTTCTTGGTTTGAAGGAATGACATTAGAATTTCAAACCTGACACAGTGGCTTCTCGAACTGAATGACAAGCTTGAGGAGGTTTGCATGCAAAGGGAATGTATTATTTCACTTCTTTGTGTTAAAGTATATTTGACATCTCCAGCACTGTCTCTAGAGATTTGAAAAAAAAAAAATACTTGACATCAGTCTAATCTGTGGTAAATGTGTGTAATTACATTTATTTCAGTTTGAAATTTGAGAACTGATATGTGTTTAAATTCTGCTGTTTGGTACCTGAGGCTTTGTTAGTAGGGAGATTGCAAATACAAAGATAACTACTTACTGGTTTGTTTTCCAGCTGCTTGTAATAACTGATTTCAGATCTGAGAATTGTAGGCATGTCTCCTACTTGTAATAACAGATTTTTCTAAATAACCAGGGCCTGTACATCTGTTTCCAATGATGCGTTGTCAGAAACTGATTTTAAAAAGAATCCTTCTGAAATTATTATTCTGGAAATTATTTTTTAAATGTGCGTATTCTAGATAACATAGCATATTGTGTATTTCTGAAATAACTCTCAGAACTCTTTCAAAATAAGTATGGTAAGCAAACCATTCTGGAAATAACTGACACAGGAAACAAATCACTGAACAGCAGAATGTGAATTCCTGCAGTATTTATTGTAGGACCTATTTAGATGTTGAAGAATAAAGGGATGTGGCTTGTGCTTCCATGGTGTGATTTGGACTCCACATCCAAGGTGAATTAGAGGAACTCTTAGCTTCATCCTTCTTAAAGTTACTTAAGAGAACTAAATTACTTAATAAAAATTGAGAAGGAATGTATTAATAACTCCTTTCTTCAAACAGGAAACCACTCCCAACCCTCAGCCTTCAGAAGAGGAGAAAACCGAGCCAGCACCTAGTCAGGAGGTTGCCAGCCCTGAACAGTATATTAAACATCCACTACAAAACAGGTAAATAGTATAGAAGAATGATTGTAATTTTGTCAAAGGTAGAACGCCTCTGACTTCACAGCTCTCTTGTTCACCTTATGCTTTCTAGCTGCATTTTGAGAATTCTAAATTTTTTTAAGATTTTTGCAGTGGAAATAGAATCTGATCCTGTTGTAATTTAGAGCCTTTTCACATAACGTTACAGAAGCTAAAAATCTTTGCAGATTTTCATAATGCAGCCAGGTAATTGGAAAGAGCACGGCTTTACTTGTAGTTGGAGGCAAGCAGAGCTTTTGTTGCTTTTGTCTGGTGTGTTTTAAGAGACTCACCCTAAGATGAAGTTGCTGCCAAGCAGAACTGGAAAACCTGCCATTGTGCTTGTACTTTGGGCTGTTAAGGTGCCAGTGGTAAAGACTTCTCATTCTTATTTCTTATCAGAGTCTTACTCCTTCATATCTTACCATTTTTTTTCTCCTATTTGGAACTGAAAGTAGTAGAAGCTGTGTTAATCAGCCAAAGAGCTGCGTAGACTTGATCATATGAGAGGTTGGTGTGTACAGAAATACTGTTTTCATTATCTCTAGGAAGCACAGCAGAAGACACTCTGTAAAGTGCAAGTGTGCACGTTTGTACCAATGTGTCACTAAGAAAAAACTGTAGGGCACTTAAATTTTCTTGTTTAACAAGAAGAAAATGGAGCAATAGTTTAAAGTTATCAAAAAAATCAAAGCCCTCTTACTAAATTCTGTGTTCAGTGTGCAAAACCAGCTATGTCTTAACAGCTATAAAAGCTACAACTCAGCTTGTTACTGAGCTATAGAGACAGTAAGGACTTGACTGAGAAACTTTGTACTTGAAAACCTCAACTTGAGCTACCTTTCTGCAGGAAGGATATTATAAGCTTACAGACTGAATTCTGTTAAATGTGCACAAAAGTTACAGCAGCATACATATGCTTCAAAAAGAGCAGCTAGGAAGTAATTTTCTCCAAGTAAGGTGAAAAGCTGCTGTGGAGTGCTCAGTACTTAATGTTGGTAGGTAGGTGGGTGCTGCCCCAAAGTGAACCTTTTACCAAGTGGCACCTTAGTCTTTTTCCAAGCTTTGAGCAACGGTGGAAAACCACTCTGCACTGTAATGCTATACTGTGTGCATCTTATTTTCCCTTGTCTTTCTTCCCTCCCTCCCTCCCTATTGGTGCTGCCACTCCTTTACAAGTGGTAGTGAGGCTATTCCTGGAAAAGAGTATAAATTTTTTAAAACAAGGTTTGAAAGGTCTCAAAACAATAGATTGATACCTGAGGACTTACCTTCTCACAGTGGGGTACTTCAAATCTACTCTAGTGCTAACCTGAGTGATTTCAATGCTACTGAAACTATCAGAATGAAAAATAAGCCTGTTTTGTTAAATGCCTCGTCAGGTATCCTGTTCAGCATTTTAAAGTTATGGCTTTTAGATCCAGAAAGAGCACCTTTGTGTGAAAGGTTCAATTTTTAATGTGTTGAGATTTGTACTCAGTAGAAATAATGATGAAGAAAATTGGATGGAAATTTTTTTCATTTAGTCTTATGCAGATTTAAAAACTTTATAAAGACTGTTGCCATTAGTAAGCTTCACGCAGCTTCCCTTTTAAAATTTATGTTCTCCTAGTATGTGAGTGCTTGGTAACTTTCATGTCATGTATAGCTTTGGAGTGATATAATTAGCTTTTGTAACCTTTACAAGGAAATTACTGGAAAGGGAGCTGTGTTCCTAGTTTGAATAGTTGGTGTTAGTTTAGACCATAATCAGTTATTAGCAGTAGGGGATTGCAGTTTAGCAGTAGCAGCAAGGAGAAGCATCTGAGGCTTAGAGGTTTAGAGTTTTAGAAATGTTCCAAAACTATTTAAAATATTTACCTAATGGATTGATCAAGTCTGCCATGAGTCTTGTAGTGGGAACACAAATATTGTTGATCTGCAAAGAGTTAGACTTGAGAACTGAGTTTTTGATGTAGCTTATTGATGAAAACTGACTTCCATGCTGATAATATCTTAAGGTTTATAATTGGTTTGGATATAACAATACAAATAATGAATTCTATTTTTAATATACTTTAATTTCTAGATGCTATTATTTTATTTTGTTTTCCTTTTAGATGGGCGCTCTGGTTTTTTAAAAATGACAAGAGCAAAACTTGGCAAGCAAATCTTCGTCTTATCTCAAAGTTTGATACTGTTGAAGATTTTTGGGCGTAAGTAAAGATTTTTTTCAATCTGTGTATGTTGGCAAAGCTTATGTCAAAGTCAAGAAAAACAAAGTACTCCATTAACTGCAACTTGTTGGGTGTAATCTGAAATGTTTGCAAAATTGAAGGTGAGGTCTACCCCATTCTTCAGAATGTGGTAGAATGTAACCTTTGAAGAAAATGTGATTGGAGAAGTTTTTCATACTTTAAACATACATTGTCTTGCTGTTAACATTGCAACACTGCTTATATTCATATGTACACAACATACATGTAGAAAATTGTATTTGTGCAGTAGTGATCTCATAGTAACACGAATTTGTAAATTCTTGTAGCCAACTGTCACTTCCTTGGCCCAAAATTTTGCTAGTTGATAAAATTCTCAGACAGCTGGCTCACTTCAGATGCTCAAAAGTGCCTGAATCTGGAGCATAGTACTTGGGAGATTGATGCAGATTAATGGCATCCTTGAAAGAAGTTCATTAGAGGTTACAGAAGAAACTACCTAAATTGAAGGTCTGTGAAAGCTCTTAGGCTCAAATAGTAAGAACAAAGCCTTTGAAGGTAGGCCTTTGCTTTCCAAACACTTGCTTCAGTCAAATTCAGGTGGCTTACTTGGAAGATTTTGCCTGCTGTAATGATGAAATATGGAGAAAATGCAAGTGGCATGAAATTGAGGGTGAAAAAATGCATTATATAGTTGATCTTTCATAGTGTTTCATGCTGCATTGAGTGGTGGTGGTGGGGTTCTTTTGGATGTGATCAGTAAAGGAGAGATGGTGTCTCTTAGTGGAATAATGAGACCCATCAGTGACCCATTGGCACAAACAGGAAATAAAGATACTGAAAATGTTGAACAAGTATTTATCCGCGCAGTCGGAGGGGTATAGGATTCTGTGCTTGTAACCAGCTTTCCCATTCCTACTGTGGGGGTGACTGAGCGAATAGTAGTTTGCAGTCTTGGGGCACATGATGGGAGGCTAAATTGTTTGAAGGTTACTTTGAAGGTTACTTGAAGCTAGTTAAGAGTAAATTTTTTGAGCTCCTATAGCCAAGATAGTCTGGGTAATTAAAAGAAGTGCTTAGTCTAGTTGTGTGCAGTCAAGGTATAAAATCAGTCACAAGCAATTGAGAAGTTATGCCTCTGTTGTGGTTGAAGTGGGAAATAGGTGTGTTCCAGGGAAAAATACTAAGGCTGAGGTAAACCTAAAAGAGGGAAGCTGGTAAATCTGTAACTGGCTTTGTAAATTCCTATGCCTGATTTCTAATTGTTAGAACATTGCAGTAATTAATTTCTTTTTTGGTGCTGGACCATGCCTGAATGTTAGTTGGTCTTGGACTACAAGTCACTATGGTATGTGCAGGCCTTTTTCTAAAGTCTGACCTTAACAGTGCAGGGGAAAAAAAAAGCTTCCACTTGCTAGAGGAGGAGATGGTATGTACTCTTTTTTTCTCTGAATTGCGTAGTTGTAAATCTAATTCAGAGTACATATTTTATATTTTGTTGTTAGTCATCTGTTCTTGTCTTTTGAGTCCTTATTTCAATTTGAATTATCAGGCCTACAGCCTTCATTCCCCTTCATGCCTTGAGTATTGTATTAAATAACAAAGTCAAATATTTCTCCTAAAACCTCTCTCTGCGGAGAGAGTAGCCTTAGAAACATAAACAATTATCTTTATTCCATGTATGTATATGTACAGAATACACATGCACACAGAACTTTGTTGCCATGAAAGTTCAGTGTGGTAGGTTTCCAATAACTTTGTTAGAACTAGGTTTAAAAGAAGCATTGGTATTTCTGGAAAACACTGTTGTATAGGAATCCATCAAGTCTTCATAAACCAGTTTCCATTGTGCTTCTTTAAGCGCAGAACATTTTAAAGCTAATGCTTTTATACTGGTGAAAAATACTTAGGAAATAGGGTTGCTTCTGAAATAACTTTAATGCTTTTTAATTTTTGTATTTTATTCAGTCATACATCTTAAATTCTTTAAGAATTTTGTACCTTAAAATAATGCCTAGTTTTTAATCCTGCTTTTTTCCCTCCAATAGTTTATACAACCATATCCAGCTCTCTAGTAATTTAATGCCTGGTTGTGACTACTCGCTCTTTAAGGTATGCTTGCTAACCTTTTTTCTTCAGTTATGGATGTTGATGGATGGTTTCCTGACTAAGCAAGACACTGTCCAAATACTTCACTTTGGATATTTGGTAATGTGGTTGGGAATGTCCTAAAGGTGTTATTTTTTTTAAGAAGTCCCAAACACATGCCCTCTGAAAGTCAGGCTGTCACTAGTTCTGAAAATGCAAGTACTTGCTTTAACACAGGCAGTACGTTTTAATCTGTTGCTTGTCTTTGTTCTATGTTTAAGATGCTTGTGCAAATAATTAAGTCTCAATAATTTCTATAGTATGAAAGATTTTCCAGCTCTGTCATTTGGTGTGACATGAAATGAGTTAAAATGTCCAAGTTCTGTGGGAGGCTGCAATGTTCTCCAGTATTCTTAATGATACTAGCCAGATGCACGGTGCACCTATAATTAATTTTTACACCACTAGTTACATACCATATTACTTATGTACGAAATGGAAAATTGTACCCAATGCTGACACGTAAAGCATGCTGAGGAAGTATTCAGACTAGTGAATAGGAAATGTTGATGAGAAAGTGTATCTGAAATCCTGCCCCAGCTGGACTGGAGATCTGAACTGGAGCTCTAAATTAAATCCTAACCTCTCTGGAAGTGCTTCTAACATACACCTTTCTGGATTCAAATATGTAAGTAATCCCCTAAGTACTGGTGCCTGGTTGCTCCTTTGATTGTAAAACATAGCTACTGGCTGGGACTCTTCAGTAGTCTGTATGCAGTTTGTAAACCTCAGCAGCTCTAGGTAGTGAAGAGAGTGACGATGCTTTGCTTTGGGAAGGTAACAACACTTTAGGTGACTGAGAAACCTTACTAGTAAATTTTAAAAAACTGTGGGCCCTTCAGAGGTTAGCATAGCTATGGATCATGCTTGTGGCTTTTGCATGAATCCTAAATCTGTGGGTTTAAGTATATGTTTCTATTCTGTGTTTGCACTTCATCAGTCAGCAATAATTTATTCAAATGCATGGAACAGGTACAGAATTGGCAACTGTTGCAGGCTTCTGAGCAATCTCTTGCTCTTGTCCTTCAATTGTGACCTCGTAAGAGTGCCTCTTAAAGGTGATGAAGTAGTTTGAGCTCTGCAGCTGCCAGCGAGGGTGTTAAATTTAAAGTGAGCTGACACCACTCCATCCTGCATGTTGAACACTTAATTAGTCTTCAGCCAAAGTTCTGTAGTGCAGCTCTCAATAGATATTCCTTAACCAAATTTCTGTCTAGACAGTTACCTGCTTTTTTTAATGACTGACTTTCCTGAAGTGCAGCGAAGCTGGCGGATATGGGAGCGGCAGCTGGCTGCTTTGCTGGATCGGTGTGTCCAGAGTCACTTAATTCAGTGCAGGGCCATTGGTAAAGCATGAATCAGAATGCAGCTTGCTTCTAAATGGTGTGTTGATTTTTGTGGCCCTGGCAATTAAAACCCTCTTATTCTCACCTTGTATGTGCAGGAAGTCATTGAGATAGGCTGCCAAGGGTGTCTGTTTCAGTGAAGTAATCTCCGTGCATAAAGCGAAGCACTTGGCCAATGCTGCAACGAGTCCAAGACTTAAAATAAGTACTCCAGAATGTAGCTGCTAATTTTGTCTGGTTTCATACCAGGCAATGTGGATGTTTGCCTGTTCCCACAGTTTTTTATGTAATGTTGTGTAGCCAAGACTTTGGCCAGGGCTGTGATTCTTCTGTAGAAATAATTCATTAGAGAAAGTGTACTTTTTAAGTGTTTTGGAACTTTGGTGTTGGTATGAGATAGTACTTTTGGACAGGTATGTATCCTAAACTGTACACTTTTTTTAAGTTGCTATTTCAGTTATCTCTGGCCTTTTGGTTATTCTTCAGGAAAAGTAGAAGTCAAGTCTGATTTAACTTCTGGCTGTTCTTTGCAGGATGGGATTGAACCCATGTGGGAAGATGAAAAAAACAAGCGAGGAGGACGATGGCTAATTACACTAAACAAACAGCAGAGACGAAGTGACCTTGATCGCTTCTGGCTAGAGACAGTAAGCACTATGGCCTTACAAGTTGCAACTGAAGAGTCTTGCGTTTGTATTATTTTAACTGTGGTGTTCTTTCTGTGTGCCACACTAGACTTCTAGCTTCCTGGCAGCACAGTACCCTGTAAGTTTTTATTGACAGGCTGTATTTGAAACATGACTTTTCAATAGAGATGCTCAATGTAGTTGTATTCTGTTGAATACTTTCTTCTAACAGGTAGCAGTAGAGGTCATTCTGCAGGACAGATTAACCTTTTCCTGTGGAATGGACAGAATAGCTATTGGGAAAATAGCACTTTGTCTTGAGTGTGACTCCCAAATGTAACTGCTCAAATGTTAACAATTCATTTCACAAGTACTCTTCCAAGTGAATGATTTTCTAGGTTTGGTCTTGCTGAAAGGGAGTTTCTGATTTCTGTACTTTCTGTACTTATGTTAACACTAGGATAGGCAAGTAATAGTGCTATCTTCCTGTGCACTAGAAAAATACTTTTTTCTATTGCTGTTATCTCTTTGGAATAGATTTTTTTGAATAGTAAATAGACTTCAAGATATTATGTGTTGTAGTAAATGTGTTGCAGAAAAGGATACAACTGCATTGTCTAGGAACTGACTCAGCCTCAAAGTCTAGTGTGATCTGGGTTTTAGGGGCATGGATTGCTGGTAGTACAGTGCAAAGTAATTTTTCCAAGTCTCTGATCTTTTTTCCCTGTTGTGTAAGAGGCAAGAAGTATTGTGCCCCTTGAAAGGGAGAAATGGCCTTCAGGATCAAAGCAGATGTATCCAAAATACCAGGGCATTAGGATCTTTGTAGTTACTGTAGTAGTGATTTGAAGAAAGGATGGTGAGCATTATACTATTAGGCAGTATGATTGCACACGAGTAAATAAATGTCTTGCTGTGTGCATTTGGCATCTCCCCCTAAATGCCTAGATGAGGCCTTCTGACTCTTAATAACCTTTACATATGGATTCATAACAATTACATATGGGTTGGAAACATGTAGATAGTCTATGTAGACTTAAGGCTATAGGGCTGTCCTCTTTGTTTAGCAGCAAGCAATGGCACAGAGCCTCAATACCCAGGTGATTGGGATATGTGCTGTAAACGAAAAATCAAAACCACTTCCTTTATCACTCCCCTTTGGAACAAATTTTTATTATTATCTAATGATATTTACCATTTTTAACTGTAAACTAAACTTCATTTAGGAAGACTTTTTTCCCCTGTTGTGCAGCATTCATGAAGAATGTACTTGGCTATAGTGTTTATTGAGCATAGCAGTCACCTTTGCAGGTATATGTACTAAGGCTGTTGATCAATATTTTGAATGTTTGTGTGTGGCTTAAATATTTATGACTTTCATTACTCAGTGAATGTGTGCATCCTGCAATTGGGTGTAACATTTGAAGTATATGTAGTTACACCTGGTTTATTCAGTAGCACACTTTGTCCTTGCTGTGTTTCCTTGATGAAGTTAGCCCTTGCAGCTCTCATGGGTGCTGAGAGACCTGCTCTGTTCAAAAAGTTGCAAGTGTGTTGAATTTCCAAATGTTATAAGTGGTTCTGGAAAATTAACATAATGGCAGTGTATTTAACATACTGTGCAAGTAAAGTAAGCAAGCATCCATTTGGAGACTAATACTTCATTATGCAGTAGGATTTTTAATTCAGCATGGACTAGATGAATCTCTTAACAAGAAATTCTCTGTTTTGTGTATCTATAAATTGCTTGGTTTAGAAGTTGCAAGTTGTAAATTTTAAAAAATCCCTTTCACTGTTAGCATGTTGTACAGGGATGTGACCTAACTCAGTCTGTGGGGGAGAATCTTGTATTGCTTGTACCCTTACATTGTTACATTTGCCTTACACACTGTTCAGGATGGCCAATTCCCTTTGGAGTCTGCAGGAACTCTGAAGCTTCCCGAGTGTGCTGATAGGAAGCAACGCTTCACTAGATAGCACTTTTCATCTAAGTTGCAGTCTAATTTGCCTCTGAATTTGATATACTTCAGAATTGAAGTTGGACCTTACCTAGCCAACATTACCCAAATAGTTCTTCAGAGGTTCTTCCTAGATAATAAATGTAAACACTTAAAATCTTCATATTTGTCTATCTGTGTTAAACGTACTTCAGAAAGAAGAGTAAATTCCTTTAATTCTTACCTGGTTTTGGATTGGGAGGATGGGGTGGGAGGCAACACTATGTAAATAATCAACTATGTCAGATCATGCAAGTGGTGGGACAGGAGGAGAGATGGAAAACTCAAAATAGGAGGAAGATACCTTACTACAGCTGAGTTTTGTTCACTTGTTAACATTTGGAACTTCAAGAAGGTACTGCAATAAACAGAAAATGATTGCTGTATGGTGAGTGGCTATAAGCAGTAAAATGTAATATTCCTCAAAGTCCTTTGTGTGCACTGTTTGCCTATCGAGCAGGATTCTGACTTTTGAACTGCCACTTTTAATGGTTAATTTTTGTTTTGTAGCTGCTGTGCCTTATTGGGGAGTCATTTGATGACTACAGTGATGATGTATGTGGTGCTGTTGTTAATGTTAGAACTAAAGGTGATAAAATAGCAATATGGACAACTGAATGTGAAAACAGGGACGCTGTTACGCATATAGGGTAAGTAATGTGGTTGGTGTCTTGAATATGTGAAGTGTAACTGCATGTTAAAGCCAGCTAACATGATAGAGAATGCACTTTAAGCAAATGTAGTCTGTCCAGATCTGTATCCCAAGTTCAAGTAACTCAGTGCCAAATTATTTGTGTTACTGTGTAGTTTTTTGTATGGGTTTGTTAGTAACTTCTTTCCACTGCTGCACTACCTTCGCTGTAGTTTAGGAATAATGAAGAATTGAACACAAATGTTGGCAGAAGGTTTTCATTTCACAATCAGACATTGTAATTAATACCTGTAGATAGTGTAGATTCTGTTGCAGCATGCAAAGGCAGGTAGCCTGGGAGAAATACAGAGAAACTGAGCAGCCAGGGATCAGGTTAGGAAAGCCAAAGCCCTGATAGAAATTAGTCTGGCCAGGGATGTCAAGGACAAGAAAAGCTTCTATAGGTATGTCAGTGATAAAAGGAGGACGAGGGAAAATGTGGGGCCCCTCCAGAATGAAACAGGTGACCTGGTGACCCAGGATATGGAGAAGGCTGAGGTACTCAATGACTTCTTTGCCTCAGTCTTCACTGGCAAATGCTTGAGCCACACTGCCCAGGTCACAGAAGGCAGGGACTGGGAGGATGCAGAACCGCCCACTGTAGGAGATGATCAGGTTCAAGAGGAAGGAACCTGGAGGTGCACAAGTCCATGGGACCTAATGAGATGCATCCATGGGTCTTGAGGGAACTGGTGGACAAAGCAGCCAGGCCACTCCCCATCATATTTGAGAAGT